GTTGGAGCGTAGTGGGGTGGAGTGTAGCGGGGTGGAGCGTAGTGGGGTGGAGTGTAGCGGGTTGGAGCGTAGTGGGGTGGAGTGTAGCGGGGTGGAGCGTAGTGGGGTGGAGTGTAGCGGGTTGGAGCGTAGTGGGGTGGAGTGTAGCGGGGTGGAGCATAGTGGGGTGGAGTGTAGCGGGTTGGAGCGTAGCGGGGCGGAGTGTAGCGGGCTGGAGTGTAGCGGGGTGGAGTGTAGCGGGCTGGAGCGTAGCGGGGTGGAGTGTAGTGGGTTGGAGTGTAGCGGGGCGGTGTGTAGCGTGTTGGTGTGTAGAGGGGTGGAGTGTAGCGGGGTGGAGTGTAGTGGGGTGGAGTGTAGCGGGGCGGAGTGTAGTGGGTTGGAGCGTAGCGGGGTGGAGTGTAGCAGGGTGGAGCGTAGCAGGGCGGAGTGTAGCGGGGTGGAGTGTAGTGGGTTGGAGTGTAGCGGGGTGGAGTGTAGCAGGGTGGAGCGTAGCAGGGCGGAGTGTAGCGGGGTGGAGTGTAGTGGGTTGGAGTGTAGCGGGGTGGAGTGTAGCGGGGTGGAGTGTAGTGGGTTGGAGTATAGCGGGGTGGAGTGTAGCGGGGTGGAGTGTAGCGGGGCGGAGTGTAGCGGGTTGGAGTGTAGTGGGTTGGAGCGTAGCGGGGTGGAGTGTAGCGGGGTGGAGCGTAGCAGGGCGGAGTGTAGCAGGGCGGAGTGTAGCAGGGCGGAGTGTAGCGGGGTGGGGTTTAGTGGGTTGGAGTGTAGCGGGGTGGAGTGTAGCGGGGCGGAGTGTAGCGGGGTGGAGTGTAGCGGGGCGAAGTGTAGCGGGTTGGAGCGTAGCGGGGTGGAGTGTAGCGGGGCGGAGCGTAGCGGGGCGGAGCGTAGCGGGGCGGAGTGTAGCGGGGTGGAGTGTCGTGGGTTGGAGCGTAGCGGGGTGGAGTGTAGCGGGGTGGAGTGTAGTGGGGTGGAGTGTAGCGGGGTGGAGTGTAGCGGGGTGGAGTGTAGCGGGGCGGAGTGTAGCGGGTTGGAGTGTAGCAGGGTGGAGTGTAGCGGGGCGGAGTGTAGCGGGTTGGAGCGTAGCGGGGTGGAGTGTAGCGGGGTGGAGCGTAGCAGGGCGGAGTGTAGTGGGGTGGACTGTAGCGGGGCGGAGTGTAGCGGGTTGGAGCGTAGCGGGGTGGAATGTAGCAGGGCGGAGCGTAGCGGGGCGGAGTGTAGCGGGGCGGAGTGTAGGGGGTTGGAGCGTAGCGGGTTGGAGCGTAGCGGGGCGGAGTGTAGTGGTTTGGAGCGTAGCGGGGTGGAGCGTAGCGGGGCGGGGCGGAGCGTAGCGGGGCGGAGCGTAGCGGGGCGGAGTGTAGCGGGTTGGAGCGTAGCGGGTTGGAGTGTAGCGGGTTGGAGCGGAAGGGGAACAGGGCGTAGCGGGGCGGAGTGTAGCGGGGCGGAATGTAGTGGGTTGGAGCGTAGCGGGGCGGAGTGTAGCGGGGCGGAGTGTAGTGGGTTGGAGCGTAGCGGGGCGGAGTGTAGCGGGTTGGATAATGTACCTCTGCCTGCAGCAGCTTGAGCAGCTGCAGGCAGAGGTTGAAACGGTGTGCTAACAGTGATTATATAAGAAATCAATACAAATAATTAAAAATAATCATTTAATCATCATAACCGTTATTAAAATAACATAGTTAATTTTTATATGCATTTTTTATAAATTTTTTAATAATTTTTTAATTATTAATTTTTTAATTATTTTTTTAATTCAAAATTTTTTTTTATATCAATTTTATATTAATTTAATATCAATTTAATATTAATTTAATATTAATTTAATATCAATTTAATATCAATTTAATATCAATTTTATATTAATTAAGGCGGGACTCCCGGCTGTCACTTTGGAATGTGGGCGTGGTTTCGTGATTTGATGAAAGGTGGTTCATATAGTTTTTGTCCAGTCTTTGTTAAGTCTCCTATTTATTATTCTCTTGTGCAGTTTCTAATTTCTTGTTTCTTTGCTCCTTATATGTGTGTTCCCTGATGGCATCTAGTTTTTGGTTTTCTGTATTTTATTTTGGACTTTGCTTCTGTTTGCCTTTGGTTCATCATTAGATCTGCAAGAAACCACCTCGGCCTCCGTCTCTGCATTTGGGTCGTCTAAAAACCTCCACACAACCTGATAAATCTAAAGAGAAATGTAAACAATAAATGATGAAAAACTAGAATATATAAAACTCAAGAATGGTAAATAAAAAGAAAGCTGAAAAAACACCAAGGAGGATTAAAACAAACAAGTCACTCCAAACAAGAAAATTCTTAACGAGATATTAAGTTTTCTGATGATACTGCCACTTGTGGCCAAAACACAGAACTGCAGCACTCTTCTGCTCTTTCTCCTAGTGTGCACCGCATAGGGTTTTTTTCTCACTCTTTTCACCTTACATGGAGTTGTTAATGGTGTCTGGGTTGAATAGAGGCAGCAAATAACAAAGTACAAATACTTTGTTATCTTAAGTATCTTTTATTATTTATTTTATTTTTATTTCTACTCTTTACAATTTTCTGCAATTATCTCTGCTTTCAAATCCTAACATTTTCATCTCCACTGTCACTTCATGCTTGCTCATCATGGACAGGTTCTTTCAACCTGTGTTATTCAAGCTGGACTTCCATCTTCCAGGTCCCTGAGTGAATCTCTAGTATCAGCTCACGCAGTCCACTGGATCTCCCCATAAAGCTCAGCAGACCATCTCGCTAACCAGCAGTCTACAGACTGACCAGCTTCATCTATCTCCTTTCCACCACCAGTTTCAGGCCTGAGGGGAAACAGCCCTGTTCGTTGCTCTGTTCATGCATATCTATCAAATTAAGTGCTATGTTTCCTGCCGAGGTCTGAGCGCCAAAGACAAAGTCAATGTATCAACAAATTTCTCCTAATTGTCTTTTCTCTTCGTGTGAGTTTTTCAGATTGAAGTAGAATTGTTAGACTTGTTTCATTCATGCTCATTTTCGTTATGGCCTGTTGGGAATAAAATAAATAAATAATGTGTATTTCCTGTTTCCGGCTTGTTTTGTTTGTATGACCGACTTGTAAAGTTGGACCATCTAGAATAGCGAGGTGTGTGAGAACGCTGGGAGCCTTTTTTCCACCTGGATCCCCGCTCTTTTTGGCCCTCATGTCCCTCCGTTGTCGGACAAACTTGCTCCCACTTCCTCACCGCCAGCTGTATCTAGACCCACAGCTAGTTCATGATTAGCCCTCTTGCGTTCTGGCCATTGATATCAAAAGTACACATTTGTTACTTCAGTAGAAGTATAGATACTGCAGTTTAAAA